GAATGTGGCGTTTCCCCTCAGTCACCATGGCTAGTAGCCACTGATAGATCTATCCTCCATGAATCTGCCTAATCTCCTTTTAAAACTGTCTGTTCCTGTAGCCATCACTACATCCTCTGGCAGTGAATTCCACATTGTAATTACTCTCTGTGTAACAAAGTTCTTCCCACACTTCCAGTGTAATCCTAAGTGAACCTTCCCGTGAGTAAGCTCCACATACCTTAGTAGAATTTTGAGTAGACCTTCTAAGGATTACGTTTCATTTGGGTATTAGAGGTTACAAGAAAGGGGACCCGCGATACTCGTGGGGGGGGGGAGCTCTACGCAGAGCAGGCAGAGGAGGAAGCAGCAGCAGGCCAGCCAGCCCGCCAAGCTTCCCCCTTCCTCCATCCCTCCCGAGCAGCAGCAGCGCACTCTCCCTCCCCAGATGCGGCGGCGAGGCCAGCCGGCCCGCCAAGCCTCCCCCTTCCTTTCTCCCCAGCAGCAGCGGCGAGGCCAGCTGGCCCGCCAAGCTTCCCCCTTCCTCCCTCTGCAGCAGCAGCAGCAGTGAGGCCGACTCCTGGCAAGCCTTCTCCTGCCCGCTGTGGCGGCAGCAAGGCAGTTCGCACAGCGTTCCCTGCGAGTGCGCAGGGGACGCTCTTTTACTTTAGGGGGATTTAAATATCCCCCCGATATTTTTTTCACCTTTTTAGATTTTTGTGCACACCTGGGGACTGCCCCAAGTGTGCAGGAAAATCTCCCTGCCCCCCAGGTGCCCTGATGTGTGGATTTAGATATCCGCATGCAGGGGCCGCCTTCGCTATTAGTATATTGATGGATTTTCCTGCTGTTATGGTCAGTGTTCCTGTCAATGCCCTGGCTGACCTCTTGAATGATGAAATGACTCAAGCAACTGACACAATTGCTCCTAGGTGCTCTCTCTCTCATCTGAGAACCCAGGCAGCTCCTTGGTTAACTGAGGAGCTGTGGATGACGAATGGACAAGATGGATGGCTAGAGCGACAGGGGAGACAGACACAAGAACATCTGACAAGAAGAAGAAGTTATACCCCACCCTTTACTACCCAAAGGAGTCTCAGAGCCGTTTACAATCTCCTTTCCCTTCCCCTCCCCACAACAGACACCCTGTGAGGTAGGTGGGGCTGAGAGAGCTCTTTCAAGGACTGCTCTTGGGAGAACAGCTCTGAGATAACTTGTGACTGATCCAAGATCACACCAGCAGCTGCACATGGAGGAGTGGGGAATCAGATCTGGTTCTCCCATATTAGAGTCCATGCTCCTAACCACTACACCAAACTGGCTCTCAAAGCATGGGCTAGAGTTCATTTTAAAGTTTACTCCATGGTGGTGATGGCAGCAAAGAAATAATGTTTTTCTGCCACTATTGCATCCACACAGTGCAGACTTTCAGAACTCTTCCAAGTGGTCAGGGGCCTACTGATGGGAGGCGATGGCTTGCTCTGCAGCCCACTGCAATCATTTTGTTAAGCGCTTTTCAGATAAAATCTCTTGCATCCATTCCAACTTGAATTCTGCATTAGCAGTGATGGGATCAGATGGTCCCAGGGTGTTGATTTGTCCAGCTGTGTGAGATATCTTTCAGTTTGTCCAGTTTGAAAATGTGGTCAAGATTCTTACAAGTTTTGGGATCTATCATCTGCTTGTATGATCCTTGTCCCCCCAGCTGCTTAAATCTGTCAGCGGGGGGGGGGGCTGGTACATAAGAACATAAGAGAAGCCATGGTTGGCCAGGCCAAAGGCCCCTCCGGCCAACAACCTGG